GGTATCAAAATGGAGCCACCTTAGTCACGCACAAGCACAATGATCCAGGGACCAAGATGGCTTGCATATTTTATGCTATTTAGAAACATTGAAATGAAAGATTTTAAAAGTTCATACCTTAACCAATGGTACTTAGTTAATGATAAATTAAGGAAACCCCAATGACATGGCACTCAACAACAATATAACCATGAATTAAATAATTTAAGACATATAAAGTTCTACAAATTGTAAAGTAAATTCCCACTCCTTCCACTAAACAACCAATAGTTGTTTTGTTGTTGTTTTTTTTAATTTCCTTCCTATAAGCAAGACCAAGGAGCTCTGGTTACATAGTTTTTACGAGTCAGGTTGCTAACGTCAAGGTCAGTAGAGTTCGAAACTACCAGCTGTTCTGTAGGAGAAAGATAAGGCTTTCTGCTCCCCTAAAGATTTACAGCCTCAGAAACCCTATGTAGGTGGCTATGAGTTGGAACCGAGTCTACCATAAGCAAGCTCATCTTCACTACTTTATAAAGTCAGGAATGTCTTCTAGGCTCAGGAAATCTAGCCAGTTTTTCTTGCTAGCACCCTTTCACATGCACTCAAATACACAAAAATTCAAGAATAATAATTTTTAAAGCACTTTTTTTTTTTTAAATCAGTATAACAACCTTTTGAATGATATAATGGGAAACATCTTTTTACCTAACTCAAACTCTTCAATTTTTGAATATTCTAAGAATGCTACTATAAAATACAAAACAACAAACCTATTTTGCTTGATTTTGTTCCACAGAATTATGGCACAACCAAAAACTAAACCCAGTAGCAATTCAGGCTATTTTTGTTAAGTGCTATTAAGTCTGTTTCAACTCACAGAGACCTTGGTATGGGGTTTTTTCAAGTGGCTGATAGATTTGAACTATGGGTTTGAATCTCAAGTTGGTGGTTCAAGCTCACCAGCCATTCTTCAGAAACCCTACGGGTTGGAACCGATTCGAAAACACTTAACAACAACAGCCTGTGCTTTTGTATTACAGTGCTTATCCTATAGTGACACACTGGGACTAAAAAAGCAGAATTGCCCCATAGGGTTTCCATGGCTGTAAATCCTTAAGAAAGCAGACTAACTCATCTTTCTCCTTCAGAGAAGCTGGGTAACCTTTGAGTTAGCAGCCCAGCACATTAACCATGTTGTTGTTGTTGTTGTTGTTATGTGCCGTCGAGTCGGTTCCGACCCATAGCGACCCTGTACAGGGTTTCCGAGGGTGTAAATCCTTACGGGAGTAGAAAGCCTCATCTTTCTCCCGCGGAGCGGCTGGTAGTTTCGAACCGCTGACCTTAAGGTTCGCAGCCCGATTCGTAACCACTACGCTACCAGAGCTCCTTACATTAACCATAGTGTCACCTAAATAATGTCATAACCCAAAACACAAACTCATTGCCATCGAGTCAATTCTGACTCATAGCGACCCTGTATAGGGTTTCTGACACTACGATTTTTTACAGAAATAGACAGCCTCGTTTTTCTCTCTCAGAGCAGCTGGTGAGTTTGAACCAACGGCCTTGAAAAGTTAGCAGCAGTCCAATGTTTACCTCACAGCACCGCCAGGGATCCTGGATTATGGCATGTTGTTGTTGTTAAGTGCTGTCAAGTCGATTCCAACCCACAGCAACCCTGTATAGGGTTTCCAATGAGCAGCTGGTGAGCTTGAACCTCCGACCTTGACGTTAAAACGGCTTTGCAGTCGGGTGCATTAACCTACAGTGCCATACTGGGACTCTGGATTATGGCATAGTTAACACTAAAATATATGTCTTGGTTAAGTGGAAATGTTTGTTAAGAGGAAAAAAGGTATCAGAGTACAAGGTACAGGTATTGCTGACATTATGTTGCTGCATGATGTTTATAAAAATGTATTTTTAAGAATCCTATGGCAGAAGAAATTTTCTTAGGACTAGTTAAGCTGTTGTCAGTAAACCTATTTAAACAACAATGAGCAGAGAGAGAATTGTCGTTCCATGCCATTTCATATTGAGAAATCGATTACAAATCTATACAGTTCTACATAGATAAGGTGTATACATCTTATAGATGACGCTTAGTACATTTCATGTCTTCTTTCAAGCATGTAATAGAAGCTTTATTTTATTGTTTCTGAAAGTCAGAAAGGCAACCCTAATGTGCTAAATTTGTACACATTTTCCCATTCTTTTTTAGTACCTTATTAAAAAAATGTTTTTATGTTTAATTTGGAAACATATATACTAAGCTGAAAGTTTAAGAATGGTTTAATGAAGTCAGTTCATAAAACTTCTTTTCAAAATACTTCAGTTTTTGAACAATATAAGAAACATCTAGTTTGTCACCAACTGTCCAAAAATTCGTCAAGTAGCTCCCTCTCCTGGAAAAAAAAATGAGTTTCTCTTTAAACTGTAAAGCATATACACATTGTTGTTGTTCTTAAATGCCACTGAATTGATTTGGACTCATAGGGTTTTTGAGGAGTGGCTGGTGGGATTGAACCACCTTGTGTTTAGCAGTCCAGTGCTTATCCTATAGCACCACACCAGGATTCCCCTTAAAAATGTTTCTAAAATTTATATAAACCATTTTTACACATAAATAGCCAAATTTGAGTGGCAGTATTTCTAACATTATCAATCAGTATCCTAATACTTTTATCAAAGCTGTTAAAACCTCTGCAGAAACTCATATAAGTAATAAAACTGTACAGGTCTGCCTAGCTAACAAAAAGTAATGAACATCATGATTTGACTTACTATGTAACAATTTCCGTTCCTGATCAAAGAATTTTGAGTTTCCTTTCATTTTAGTAGTTTTATGCCATCTTCAAACCTCAAAATTATTCATACTTTTATTATTCATACAGCTCACTGGTTTTTACCAAGAAAAAAGTGGAGCTATAAATTAAGTAGCAACATTACAAAGGGCAGTTGTTTATAAACTCTTTTCCTAAAAGCCACTCAGAGCAATTGAGTAACTAAGTTTAAATTTCAAGCAAAGAAGGTCAGTCAAATTTGAGGGAAGAGTTATAGGAAAACAAAATACAAGCACACTTATCTCAACCCTAAAGTACATTGAAAATACTGAGACAACTTCAAGCTAAAATAAAAAAAAAAAGACAATCTGCCTCAGTGTAAATCAAATACTAAAGTTTCAAATCTTCAGATGCCAAGATGATGTTTATAAAAAAAAAAACTGGATATATAATGTTCTTAAATTACCAGTTTTAATATTGTTTCTAAAACATCAACACTCAGAATTACCTAATAAAAATCTTACATTAAACACAAGCCAGTATTTTTAGCACAGACATGTATATTTAATTTTTCTCCCAAATACTAAGACTGTTTCTTAAACGAAATTACAGGGCTCTGGGAATTTGACAGACTTACTACTTCAGCAAACTATTATCATTTCATGTTTCTCTAGGGACCAACTTGACTACTGTAAACAGTAAGATATCTATTTCTGAAATAAGAAAGGCAACTTCAAATTTAAAAAGTTTCAACTCTAGAGAGTATCTATGATCATTATGAGCTTAACATTTAGAGGCTTTGCTAGTTTTGGAAGTCTTGAATAAAGCAAGTTTCTTCCAGGGAAGCTTATACACTATACTCACTGTTAGGAGACACAGCAATATTTTTAAGTTAAATGTACTTTAAAATTAACCTATTACATACTTCGTATCATATCTTAAAATTTTCTAAAACCCACATTAAAATTTTGCTTATAAGGCAAAATACTTATTTTGTGTTAAAATTATCAGCTGATTCAATCAAGTGAAACTGTTTCTTTGAGCAAAGTTAGGCAATGGAGAACTTGAGGGGAAAAAATCAATATAAATAGTGAGCATTCCTTCCTATTCATGCATGTTAGATTAAAAAAAAAAACCAGTACGAACCCTCCAGCCTACACCCGCATTCTTTAAGCAGAGAGAGTGAAAAATCACTTGTGATTAAGTCGTGCCTTTTTCCTAGAATTTGAAACTAGCATGGAAATAAAGCCAACTTTCCCTATGGAACAGAAGGGATCTTAACCCCTCCCTATTAAGGACCAAGATAAAGTGGAATGGGCTTGTGTAGAAACTCAAGTTAACTACACTAAAGGCAAACAGGTTTTGTTGTTGCTGTCAACAAATACTTCTCAAAACGCTCATTTTATTTTCAAAATAAAGTGGGAAGAGCAAATAACAATGGAAATACAAGACTCTCCTTCCGCTTCTCACTGGTGTCTAAAATTGCATCCCCTTCCTTAAACTAAATCTTTTTAAATCAGATGAATAGAGCAGGTCACAGGATCAGCATGAAAATGGTCCTCTTGGCCTTAAGCCCTCTTTCAGTCCCAAGTCCACTGCTGCTTTACTTTCCCCCTCTTTCTCTAATCCTACCCAAACCAGAACCCTGAAATAACCCTACTCCCCCGATTACTTACTGTCCCCATTCCCTAACCTTCTCTTCCCCTGCTTATCCCCCAAAGAGCCTTCCTGATGACCGCCAGGTAAATGAAATAAGGACTGAAACAAAGACTTTGGGGCCTAAGTGAGGCCAGCCACAAGGGGTAGTAAAGGGAAGAGGGAAGGCGGTACCCAACACTTGGAAAGAACTAAGAAAGGTCCAAGGGAGCGTGAGCAGCCTGAGCGGAGAAGTGCAAGCCAGAGCCGAGAAATGCAGAAGGGCAGGGAAGCAAGCGGAAGGAAACTCGCGGGAGAGACATTTTGGGAGCTTTCGAGACGCACTCCATCGGCCGGGGAAGGCTCCGCAGTCAAATCCGAGATGTACTAGTGTTGAGATGACAAGCGCAATCTCTCCAGCAGGCTGCTCGCCCTCCGCAATCCGGCACAACCCCCCGGGCTTCGCCCAGCACCGCCCCTTCCCCCGCCTCCAGCCCGGCCCGCGGGGTTAGGTCCAAACCGGGCAGCGGGCGCGGGCGGCGCCACTTTCCCCGACTCCCGTTCCCTATCGCAGACCCCCGGCAGGACGCCCCCGCCTACCTGTAGCACCAAAGGCTCGGGGTTGAAGGCCAGCGTCAGCAGGAGCTGCATGCGCTCTGAGTCCTTGAGGTTGCGGAGCAGGAAGCTGCCCGAGTCCTTGGTCTCGGCGTAGCGGCGCACCAAGCGATCGAGCAGGCGCTGCGAGGGGCAATGCACCAGGTCCGACCAGCCCTCCACTGCCTCAGGCGTGAGCAGCCTCACGTCGCCGTTGAGGCGCGCGAACTCTGTCCGGGGCATGGCCTGGAGCAGGTCGCAACGGGGCCGGCCGGTGGCCCTCTTGCAGATGCTCTGGTCGAGCTGCGCCAGCTCTCGCTGCGAGCCGAGGCGCTTGAGCACCACTCGGCGGCGGCCACCCTCGCGGGGCTCGCCGTACTGAGCGAAGTAAACGTTCTTCACGTTGAGGAAGTCCAGCAGGCGCAGACGGCCCCACGCCTCGAACACCACCTGGCCGTTCAGGAAGCGGCGACACCAGCTCGTGCCGAAACACGCCGGGCACTTATTGAGCTGCAGAAAACGCCGGTCGGCGAGCTCGTTGCGCTGCCAAGAGGCGAGCAGCGACGGCGAGTGCAGCACCATCAGCACCAACAGGCTGCCAAGCGCCGCCAGCTTCAGCGAGCGGGACAGGCGGCCCAGCTTCGGGGGCACCAAGCGCCACATCCCGCCCGCCCGTCTGCCCGCACCCGGAGGGCGAGGGCACCCCCGGGGCGCCCTCGCCACGCCGAGAACCGGAGGGCGATGTGGACTGATCCCCCTAGCTAGAGAAGGAGCGAGGGCGCGGGCTGGGGCGGGAGGCGGAGTGGGTGTGAGAGCGAGGTGAGACAGGGAGCGGGAAGGAGCCCACCAGAGCAGGCTGCGACTTCTCGCAGTCACTAGTCTCCACAACTCTCCAGCTCCCTCCTCCGAGCTCCCCGCCCTCCGACTCCGGCAGCGCCTCCTCTGAGCCAGCCAAGTTATACAGGAGCAGGAGGGGGAGGGAAAGAGGGACCCGACGGCCGCGCGCCCGTGGGCCGCGCGCACGCGCACTGCTCGCTCAGGGCGCTAGAGCTGCGGCGGCAATTGGCGGCCGGGCGGGATCTCTGAGGACAGAGATCGAGGGACTCACGGAGGGGAAGAGGAGATGGCCTGCCTCGCACCGAAAAGTAGCAATAGAGTAGTAAGGAGGGACGGACGAGGCTCCCTTGCGTCTCTGACATCGCACGCCCCAGTCCGTACACGCTAGCTCTCAAGAGGGAGAGAGACAGGGGGCGGAACCGACGGGGCGGGGCGAGCGCGTCGCGCGCCGCCCGGACAGCGTAAGCGCGGGCTCGCGGGGGCGGTTTTGGGAGCCGTCCCCGCTGGGGGCGGAGCTCGAGTCTTGGGAGGCGGGATAAGTTTGTGAGCTCTCGTGGGGAAATGACTTTTTGTAAGAGTTCATCTTTTACGATTGCTGAGTCGTACTGGGGTTTGTGTTTTGTCATGGTGGAAAGTGGTCCTTTAAGGGAGGAAAAATATGAAGAAATGAATTGCGGAAGCGTCTTGCAGTGCATTCCCGCTGGAACAGGAGCGTGGGGCAGGGCAAGAATGAGCCGGACAAGGTTCTCTCGGTGCCTTCTACGGGTCGTGTGCGCGCCGGGAGAGGGGTGGAGCCCGGAGCGCCTGGCGGGAGCTCGCCGCCGCGGGCTCGCGCTCCTCACGGTCGGAGGCGGGGCATACGGAGGGAGCAGTGGGGAAAGCGGGAGTTGAGAGAAGCAATGACTCATTTGGAGGCATCATCTTTGGCGTCTATTCTACCTGGAGGCATGTTAAATTTTCCTGCGTGAACCTCCAGAGAACGATGTACCCAAGATACTGTGTTAAAGGAGAAATCTGATGGAGAAGGAACCGACGCGGCCGGGTGTCACCGGTCGTTCAGCCCTAATCGCCACCTGGAAGCTGGGCTTGAGCAGTTTGCAGGTTTGCTTTTGCTCCTCTCCTGTTTCCCAGCCCAGACTCACTTTCCGCCCACCCGGCGAAGTGACTTTCCCGGCGCCGCCCCTAAGGATCCCTGGGGCACCCCCGCCGGCCCTGCCTGCCCTGGGGGCCACGGCTCTGTGCGTTGTGGCTGTAGCCATGGGGACCCGAGGCCTCCCGGCGCTCAGCTCCTCCACATTGCCTCGGATTCACGCCAAGACTGCGAAAATAACTTGGAAATGCTGACCTGGAGCCGCTTTACTTTGGTTTTAGGAACCCAAACTCATTAGCAGTAGCTATGACTGCATATGCTTTTTAATTTTACCCTAGAATAGGGAAATACGGTTGCAGGAGCAAGTGATTCTTGATAATGTTATTGAATGACTACTCAACTGAGTGCATTTTAGGGTTGAACAATGAGTTTAGTCCTCAGTAACTGCCTGCCATACGAGTATATATCAACTCTTTCCAGGAATTTAATGAGAAACATATATTCTGGATTATCAAATTCTCTTTTCTGTACTGTTCTGTCAACAACTGCTTGGTTTTAAAAGCAGAGGCATAGTCATGAAGAATACTGTTGTGGTTAATGTATTCTCCTTTGTGGAAGAATTTACTCCTTCAAGCAAAACAAACAAAAAACCTGTAGGCAGGTTTTATGTTAAACATAAAAGTAGTTTTTTAATGATACTACATTGAAAACAGTCAACTAGGAGTATATTGCCTTCAAGACCTTGTGCAAAGTAACTTAAAAATGTGGGTGTTATAACTACATTTTTATGCCACCTTTGGCAAAAATTTAACAAGACATACTGAATAAAACTCCATAGGATATCAGTGGAATTAGGAGCACATGCTCCGCTCAATAGACTGGTTCCTGGGTGAAAAGTTTGGTCAAGAGATCTGTGTCATACTCTTACCATTTTTCTCTATCTTATGTCGTTGTGAGGCTCCCTTGAGTGGGATCCAATTCAGCAACCTCCTGTACTACAGAATGCAATGTTGCCCAGTCCTGTACCATTCTCGCAATAGTTATATTCCAGACAGTTGTTGCAATCACTGTGTCAACCCATGTTGTTGAGAGTCTTCCTCTTTTTCTCTCACCCTGTACTTTACCAAGCATGATGTATTTTCCCAGGAACTGGTTCTTCTTACAACATGTCCAAACTATCTGAGACTAACTCTTACCACCCATTCTGGCTGTACGTCCAAGGCAGATTTGTTTGTTCTTCTGGCAGCTCTTGGCACTTTCAGTATTTGCCACTGCCATTATGCAAATGCATGGATTCTTTACAGTCTTGCTATTCATTGTCCAATTTTCACATGCATGATTGAAAATACCATGATTTGGGTGAGGCATACCTCAATACTTAAAGTGATATCTTTGATCTTTAGCACTTTTAAGAGGTCTTTGGCAGCAGATTTGCCTGATAAAAATACTCCCTTTGATTTCTTAACTCTTGCTTCCTTGGGCAGTGAATGTAGATCCATGTAAAATGAAATTCTTGACAACTTCAACTTTTCCTACATTTATCATGATGTTGCTTATTGGTCCAATTGCGAATATTTTTTATTTTTCATACTGAAGGCTGTATGTAGTCTTTGAACTTCAAGTCCTCTGAGTTTTCAGCAGGCAAGTTTGTGTCATGTGTATATCACAGGTTCTTATGAGTCTTCTTCCAATCCTGATGCCATGTTGTTCTTCATATAGTCCACTTTCTGAGATGATTTGCTCAGCATTCAGATTAAATGGGAGTCCTGGTATGACGCTGCAGAATAATGCATTGAACCTCAAGGTTGGCGGTTCAAACCCAGCAACTGCTCCTCAGAGCGTAGTGGTTACGAATCGGACTGCGAACCCCAAGGTCAGCAGTTCGAAACTACCAGCTGTTCCGCGGGAGAAAGATGAGGCTTTCTGCTCCCATAAAGATTTGCAGCCTCAGAAACCCTGCACAGGGTCGCTATGAGTCAGAACCAAGTCCACGGCACATAACCAACCAATAACAGCAACAGATAGAATAAGTATGTTGTTAAGTGGCTAGGTTTTCCAAGGAGCAGCTGGTGGGTTTGAACCGTTGACTTTGTGGTCTAGTGCTTTATCCTACAGCACCACACATAGTGAAAGGATATAACCCTGATGTATAAACCTTTTCCTGATTTAAAACCAGTCAGTATCCCTTTTTTCTGTTCCAGTGACTGCCTCTTGTTCTATGCAGTGGTTTCTCATGAGCACAATGAAGCGTTCTGGAATTCCTGTTCTTTGCAATGTTGTACATAGCTTTTCATGATCCATGCAGTTGAATGCTTCTGCATAGTCAATTAAGCAAAGTAAACACCTTTCTCCTTTCAGCCAAGATCCATGTTACATCAGAGATATCCTCCATTCCATATCCTTCTCAGAATCTGGCATGAATTTCTAACAGGTCACTATTGATGTACTGCTGTTACTTTCAATTAATGTTGTTGTTAAGGGCCATCAAGTCAGTTCCAACTCATAGTGACCCCTGTATAGGGTTTCTGAGGAGCAGCTGGTGAGTCTGAACTGCCGACCTTGCAGTCCACTGTGTATCCTGAAGCATCACACCAGGACTCTGTTCAATTAATATTATTAGATAATATATGTGGAATTGCTTTGAAACAATAACAACACTACATTTAATTTAATTTTTATTGTTAGAATGAATGATTCCCATTGACAGTCTTGTTAATAAACTATTAAGAATCTTGGAGCGCAGTGAGATAGTATTTAGGTGACTAGTACTAGAATTACGGAGGTTCTGTTTCTCTGTATAGAAAAGGTCTTTGTGTGTCCATTCCAATTCATAGTGACCCTGTATAGGATTTCCGATGAGCATCTGGTGGGTGTGAACTGCTGACCTTGTCATTCCCAGTCCAGTGCTGATCCTACAGTGCCACACCAGGAGTCCAAAAAATGTCTGTAGATTTTTAAACTCTTCTCAGTCTCCAACTACGTGGAGTTGCCGAGGCATCATTTGAAAAGTGGAAGAAAAAGTTACTAGTCTATACAAGTTTAATTTTGAAAAACATTTGCTTATATCTACACATTTTACGTTTGTTTAAAAACCCTGATATTCTTTTCAGGTATGTTTTCTAGACTTCTTTTAGGCAAGATAGTCTTCAAGAACTTAATACCTCAAAAGATCAAAAAACTAAACTGAAAGCTATCTGAGTAGTAAAAACTCAAGCGTGTTTAGAAGTACCCTGTTACGGTTTGGAAAAGGAGCTCTGGTAGCATAGTGGTTTCGAGTTAGGCTGCCAACATCAAAGTCAGCAATTCAAAACGACCAGCTGTTCCATGGGAGAAAGATGAGGCTTTCTGTTTCTATAAAGATTTATAGCCTCAGAAACCCTATACAGGGTCTCTGCGAGTCAGAACTGACTCCATGGCACATCACTACCACCAGGGTTTGGAAAAAGATTAGTTAGTGTTAATATACATTTTCCATTTATCATATGAATTACAGAATTTTTTTAGCTAATGGATTATAAACCAACATCCAAAGTTCTTAATCAGCAGTTTAAAATTATATTGGCAAATAATGTCATTTCCAGTGCATTTTTAAATGCCACTTTAAAATAACCCTTGTGCCTTTTAAATGTGTCCAGTAGAATGAAACACTGTAGTATTTTGATAACCACTATCATCTATTTTTAAAAAGTTACCCAATTCAAAAAAGTTCTGCTATCAAGTCCAGTACACAGTATGG